TGGAAACTGTTCTTCATTTCTACATAAGCCTTTAGCTCCATATACTAACTTTGAGCAAATCTGCCCCAAATGTAAATCTGCCCCAAGCTATGTGTTTTACATTCTGAGTAATTTATGATAAAGACTGGGAGAAGATTATGGCAAGAGCAAACACCTAGAATTGTCAGAAGCCATTATAGAAATATCTGTTTCAAGTGATCAAATAAACTTTACTAGAAAAAATTATTAAGATCATCCACTGTTTACAAACATCTTCAGAAATGGCAAAATAGTAAAATCTACTTGAAATAAGATTTAAGTTTATATGGCATTTCAGTGATAGCAACCAAATTCAAATGCTCATTCCAGTCCAAACTTCTCATTCCAACTTTAGTTTCTTTGGATCCCCTCCATCTTCCGTTTTCTTTTCAGCCAGTCTTTTCTTTAAACCTTTCATTTTTCTAGTCTGCAGTTTATCCAGGTCCTGTTTCTGCATATGAATCCGCCCATATTTTGTCCCAAAGACATCATGGGAGACATTCTTCTTTTTCTTTGGCTAGAAATACAAGAAAATGCCCATTTGCTAATCTAGAATGACAAGCAGTTTTTTTCAAAATGCAATCCTTATCTAATAACCACTGGAAAATGTCCTTCCATTACAACTTAAAATCTAATTAATTAATTAATCTAAATCAAATTAATTAGGAGAAACAAAGGTTGGAACTCACAAGCCATGAAATCTGGAGAAATGTGCTGAAGCCCCATTTGGAGACCAAGTTTAATTCAGCCCTTCCTAACCCTGCTACTTTCCAATGTGCAGACTACTCCCAGAATTTTCATCAAGAGCCACATAGGTTCATCATCATCATCATCATCATCATCATCATCATCATCATCATCATCATCATCACAATAATAAAAAAGAGCCATGTAGGTTGGAAAATTCTGGGCTTTGAAGTCCACATATTAGGAAGGCACTCAAGTTGGAGAAAACTGGTTTAATTTGCAAAAACTCCAGAAATAATGATTTAAGGATTACAAAAAGAGACTAAATCTGTCATATCAGGTCAGCTCTTTATGATATCACCTAAGCACATCTATAGAGAGCCAGTTTGGTCTAGTGGTTAAAGGCACCAGGCTAGAAACCAGGAGACCGGGAGTCAGCTGAGTGACCTTGGGCTAGTCACTCAGTCTAGGAAGAAGGCAAGTGGCAAACGACTTCCAAAATCTTGCCAAGAAAACTGCAGGCAGTTGCCAGGAATCAAGACTGACTTGTAGGCACACACACAAGCACATCTATATCTCAACAAAATAAATGGTGGCCACAAGTAAGCCAAGCAGCAATCATTCCCAAAGTCCCAGACTGGGGTACAGCAATATTTAGTAGAATCAAAGGACATGGGCAATCTAAAATAATCCTTAAAGTACAGTAAGAAAAATGGGATAGCGCTTATATTCATGGATTTAATTAACTGTAACTCTTTACAGTTCTTCTTCCTTAAGTAGCTCTGTTCCATAAGCAGAAAAATCTTTTCAGTTCCATACCACCCTTAGGTTCTGTGTGTGAGGCAGATTTTCCAGGCATAAATGTATAAAGACTTGCCTACATACCTTGAGAGCTTTAGGCTGTTTTAGCGACAGCTTATAAAGATCATCTGATGCCAGATGTGTCCTCCTTATCACCAAATCTAATGAGGGTCCCATATCTTCAAGTTCAATCCTGGGTATTTTGCAACCAGACCTTTTCAACAATACCCTTGAAAATGGGAGAAGGAAAAAAAACCCTCTTGCTTGATTACTTCAACTGACATTCTGAATCCTTGTAGCAACCTTCCTCTGGACAGTTCAACACAAGGTACTAACAAACCAGTCCTATGCAATTCATATCAATACCCAATGCCAGTGTGCAAAGCTAGTTTCAGGTCTATGTTAATAGTATCAACGGACAAACATTTACCAAAGTCAACTGCTGTACGAAAGATTCTGGAAAGAGGAGTAAGCAGAAAGGATTGCCCCATAATACTCTATAAATGTTGCACCCCAAAGGAATATCAGCGGCCCCTTTCTTCATAGATTCTTTCGGGAGAAACGCTATAAGGAATAATGGCCATACACTTTTGTGGTATAAGAAAATACTACTTCATCTACCATAGGGATAATGTACTTTGGCTTATTTTGCATAAGTTAAGGTTAGTTGAAGATAAGGTTAGTTTATAAACTTGCTATTTATTGTAACACATGTCCTTTTTTTGGCTATACAAATAATCTTCAAACGGAACAGTTTCATGAGATCAAATGGTGCTGAAAAATATTATTAAGGAGTTATAAAATAGAGATTGAATATGTTGCTCAATGCTTTACTTTTGTTTATAATGTCCTCTGTCTTCACACAAACATTAAGCTAGATATGGGTATAACTTTACTGATCAGAGTTTACATAAAAGCTATATCTGGAGCCAGTTTGGTCCAGAGGTTCAGGTGCTGGCCTAGAAAGCAGGAGACGGTGAGTTCTAGGCCTCCCTTAGGCAGGAAAGCCGGCTGGGTGACCTTGGGCCAGTCCCTCTCTCTCAGCTTAACCCACCTCACAGGGTTGTTGTTGTAGGAGCATTAGGCATGTTTGCTGCCTTGAGCTGAATAATAATAATAATAATAATAATAATAATAATAATAAAAAAAATCCTTCAGTGTTGAACTGAAAAGTGTCAGCAAGCCATTTCGTTTGATGCTTGATTAAAGTCTACATTTGGAAAACAAGGTTACTTCTAATGATGGACAAGCAGATTTCTAGACTATATTTGCATGTCATGCTTAATCATAAAATACAATGCAACCCATACAAGACTATCTTTTCTTCCTCCTCCTCCTGTATGTCACCAAATCTAAGAGCTGGGTAGAAAAAGGAAAATGTATTTCTACATCATTCTGCTGTGCCTGGAAGACAGCTGGGTACTGTCCTAACTATAATATGCCCATTTTACCACTGGTATCATTCAGTTCTTAGATAGCATCACTGAAGCAATGAGCATGAAACTGAGCAAACTCAGGGAGGCAGTGAAGGACAGGAAGG